TGGGGTGCAGGGCCCAAGGACTTGGGCCATCCTCCACTGCACTTCCTGGGCCACAGCAGAGAGCTGGCCTGGAAGAGGGGCAACCGGGACAGAATCTGGAGCCCCGACCGGGACTAGAACCTGGGGTGCCGGCGCCACAGGCAGAAGATTAGCCTATTGAACCTCGGTGCCGGCCTAACTAACAGAGTTCTATGTAGGGTGACTCTTAATAGAAAGACACAGTTATTAAGTGTGAAACACTCATTTTCTCATTCACTCACTAACACATTTAACATATGAGACTTAACAGGGAGTATGACTTGTGCTAAATCAGGGGATATCAAATAATAAAAAGAGGTAAAATATCTGGCATTCTCTTTGTAAAACAGGGGGAAAGTGACACCTGGGCAGTAGATTATAGAGCATGGAATTAAAATTCAGGATTTCTTTGCAACTCAATCTGTAACTGGTCATCAATTTCCAGTTGTAATTTTCCTCTGCACAATTAGAAAACACAACATAAAAAAGAAAAATGTATTTTGATAATTACAGGATTTGTTCAAAATATAAGAGCTCATTTTAAGAAAAAGGACTCAAATACAATCTACCTACTATTCCTCGTTAATCAAAATGCTGTTGGTAATATCCTAATATCCTATGCTAGGAAGGAAGCCTGCTATGTGGGGAAAGACTCAATCACTCAGACTGATGGCATGATAACTAAAGAGCTCTTCATCTCCTGCTTTTGCCCAGGTCTGTAATGTGACAGGGAAGCCTACAATCCTTTTCTGACAGCATTTTCCCAACAATTATTCTAACTGCTACTTTCTTCACCATAGTGCAATAGAAGGAGCTGGAAGCCTTGAATCTGAGTGCCAGTACTGCCATGAGTACCATGTCCTTTACTGTCAATCCACTAACCTGTATGCTGCTCTTGAAAGCTCTACCTAATTCCCTAGGTTATCCTGAGGCCACAGAAGGTCACAGAAATGGTAACTACTCTTCTGCAAAAAAAACACAACTTCAACCTCCACCTGGATTTCATAAAGAAAAAAAAAAAAAAAAGCCAGAACAAGGTCTCTCTCTCTCTCTCTCTCTCTCTCTATATATATATATATATATAGAGAGAGAGAGAGAGAGAGACTAATTTGGGAGGAGAAACAAAAGATTTAAACTGGGGCCACTGTGGTGCAGTGGGTTAAGCAGCCGCTTATGATGCCAGCATCTTTTATTAGTTAGAGTCCCACTTATTCCACTTCCAATCTAAGCTTCCTGCTAATGTGCCTAGAAAGGCAGTGAAAATGGCCCAATTCTTGGGCCCCTGCCACTTATGAGGGAAACCAGGATGGAGTTCCTGGCTTTAGCCTGGCCCAGACTTGGCTGCTGCAGTTATCTGGGGAGTGAAGCAACAGATGGAAGAGATCTCTCTCTCTCCCTCCTCTCATCCCTCCCTCTCTTCCTATCCATCTCTCCCCCTCCCCCACCTTCCTGTTGTTCTGCCTTTCAAATAAATAAATATGTTTTTAAAACACACTGTTCAGGGGCCAGCATTGTGGCATAGCAGGTTAAGTTGCCACCTGTGACACTGGCATCCCATATGGATGCCAGGTTGAGTTCCAGCTGCCCCACTTCCAATCTATCCCCATGCTCATGTGTCTGAGAAAGCAGCAGATGATGGCTCAAAGGCTTGAGCCCCTGCCACCCATGCATGAGACTTGGATGGAGTTCCAGGCTTCTAGATTCTGCCTGGCCCAGCCCCAGCCATTGCCGGCACTTGGGGAGTGAACAAGCAGATGGATGATCTCTCTCTGTCTCTCCTTCACTCTAACTCCTCTTCAAATAAAATAATAATAAAAAGCTTTTCCTTTAATAAAAAATGAAAGAAAATGTAGTGTTTAACTGAATTAATTTGGAATCTGGGCTCCAAGGCCTGTTTTATTTAGTTATAATTATAGAACTTTGGCCAAATCACTTATCCTCTCTGAAACTCAGATCACATGTAGGTCAAATAAAAATAATACATATATTATCGACATCAGTTTTATCATAAGACTAAGCAATAGTACAACATGAAAGTAGACTAAAAAACTGTAAACACATTATTTATTATGGGGCAATAACAAAATCAGTACCACAAAACTGTTCTCACAAGTGCCCCTTGGGTTCTTTTACACTACTGAGTCACTGAGCAGAAAGTACAAGGGTGCATTAAAGGATGCTTATTCTGGTGAAAAAAAAATGGAAATGAATACATAGCTTTTTTCATAATATACATTTTCCATGAATATTTAGAAGACCCTTGTACACAATTCTTTAAAAAAAAAACTATCCCACAGAAAAACCAACAGTACTCCTTCAAAATGGATGCTACTAAAGTATATGTTGATGAAATCACTTGACTTATATGTCCCATGCTATTAACTATACCATTTCATAGGAGGAAAACCCATTTAAAATGAGCACTGATCTAGTCAAAGCCATAGTACCAATGTAATATTCTTCAATACCAAAGGAATAGGAT